CTCGGACTTGAAGCACAGTCTCTGGAGAAGGCTGGTGGGCTCAGGTGCCTCTTCCACCACAGCTTGCCTGTCGTGCTCACTGTTCTTCCCAGTGTGGCCCAGGAGACCCCATGTCACCTTGTGCCCCGACTCTGCATTTTCCTCTGCCCCTGGCAGCCAATAGTGTCTCCCTGGGACCTTGCATCTTTTCACCCTCAATACCAAGCAGATGTGCCCTGTGCCATTTGAACTGAACTGTGATTTTTTAAATTTTTCTGCTGATTTAGAAAATGCTTTAATAAATTGAGAATATTTTTAATTTAGGGTTAGAAAGAGGTGGGGACAAAAGTCTAGTTTTGGGTTCATCACTACCATTAAACAGTATTGTTGTTTTATCTCTATAGTAGCAGAAACGGCTGCATTATGGGACTTAACCTAGATCTCTGAAGCTGTGTTCCTGCAAACACAGGTGGAGCTGGGTGTTGTCGTTGCTTCCATCATCAGCCAGCGTGGCATCGCTCAGCCTTGACAGATGCAGAGGCCTTTTCTCCAGTGTGTTTCCTCTCCTCTTTTTTTTTTTTAAAAGAAACAATATGTAAAGTTTTGCTTTAAAAGAAAGTAGATGCCAGTGAAATAAGGAAAGTAATATTTTCAGTTTTGACAGAAAAAAAAAAAACTAAATTGGCGTGACCCAGGAGTTTATCTTGCGTATGAACACCCCTTTTTAACTCCAGTAACCCCTACATACCGTCTCAGGATATTGTGCCCGAAACACTTTCAGCACACAATGATAATCCACCAAGTCCTCAAAGGTTGGGAATTGTTCTTATATAATAAAAATATGGTGGAGCAGCTTCATCAATACAAGCCCAGCAAATCCTGATTGGTGGTGTGTGCATGTCTGTGCAGGGTGAGTACACCGAAGTAGTGTCTTCCTTTGTTTAGAGACGGAAGCAGAAAGGGGCGGGGGGTACTGAATTCACTGTTCATTCTCATCCATTCTGTAGCAGTTACTACCCACAGGCTCTGAATCAGACTAAAACCCTGAGCCTGTGTCCTAGCAAGGAGTTTCCTGTAGATACCACATATGAGTAAGTTAACAAGCCTAGGAGAAGGTGAGCGGAATGAGTAGGGGAACGTGGTGGGTTCGGTGAGAAGGTGACATTTGAGCAGAGACTTAAGCCTCTAGGGTTAGGCTTTGTCGAAGTGTGTTGACCTTTTCCAGGCATCTTGAGCTACGCTGCCCTCGCCTGCATCCTCTCTTTGAGGTGGGCTCCCAGCTCAGGACGATGTCACCTGCCATGTCCTTGTTGGGGGATTTTTTTTTGAGATGGGATGGGAGTGGGGTCAAGTCTGGAGCTTATTTCTAAACAGTAGGTCACATTGAAAGAATGCGCTAAAAAACTGCGACATAAACCCTGTCAGACCAATTACATTTTGAAGATGTTGAGTACTTTAGAATCTGGGGTAACTCAGATTTCTTCTTATTTATAAAAAGTCGGCACCCTAGGAAAGAATTAATCTGCTTTTACCTCATTGTTCCAATAAGAATGAATGTACTTAGAAGTTGATTAAATATTTTTTCTTCTGGCCACAGAAAAGTACGTCCAAATCCTTAAGTAATTGCATTCCTGCAAGCAGACAGTTCTCGCTTTCTTCCATTTGCCAGAGGCCTGCGCTTCCCAGGCCCTTGTGTCCTGTGTGCGGGGCCTCAGCTTGAGCTCCCGGCGCTTCAGTCACTTCATGCTCACCCAGCTCGGCTGAGAGGCATGACATTCCAAAGCAGTTTATTCCATAAAACTCTTGGCTTGCTTTGATAGCTTGAGAGCATATTTGAAGTACTAAAGTATTAAGTCTACATTTAGGAGAAAAAATAATGTTTCAACCTAATCCAAAAATTTGATTTCAGATGATGAGCAGAAGTTAAAATGTCTGCATATATGCGTTTTCAGTGAAATAAATAAGTGCTTAAAGAGTTGGGAATATAATATCTGACTGTCATGAGCAAGTATTGCCTGAAAATAGCGTCATGAGCATGTAGGAACTTTGGGCAGTTGTACGTGATCCCTCAGTACCTTTTTATTTGTACTGGCCTTGTGTAGGCCTGTCACTCCCGGGAAAGCGTGAGGCACTAGAAGCCTGCATTTGTTTGCCCTTTCATGCCTGGCAGCTCGGGCCTGACACGGTCTAATTCTGAGGATCACCTCAATGTTAAATTGGGTGTTGGGGGTCAGGTGACTGTGATGAACCTGCATGTCTGCATGGGATATGCCTGTTTGAACCTTACAGACACAAAAGGATGCCGGAGCAACCCCAAGCCCCGTATTCCATGTGTGCGTCTTAGCCAGTCAGCATTCAGTTCCACCTTAAATTAGAAAATGGTGTTATTTGTATGCTCTGGTGGTGTTTTTTTTTTAACTTTGGATGATACATATTTTCCTTTTACTAGATGTTCTTGATTCTCTATTATGCTCTGCCATCACAGTAGATAGATGCGCCATTTTCATCAGCAATATGCTTTTCATGTATTGCTAATATTTTACTAAATATAGAATCCTAGATTAATTAAGCAAGAAGAGCCAGAAAATTCTACAAATGAAGAACCATGAGGAAAGGGGACTAATATTTACCAGATATTAAAATACAGTATAAAGTTTTAATTCTTAAAACTATGTGGCACAGAAACATGGCAGAAAGATCAGTACAACAAGATAAATTCCAAAAAGAAATTTAAATATACATGGAAATTTAGTAATTTATCCAAAGATATTTTAAATCAATGGAGGAAATGAAGAATGTTCACAAAGCAGTGTTGAGATCACTTGGTAAACATCTGAAAGAAATTACATTGGATCCTTTTCTCACACCTTACACTAAAACAAACTCCAGACGGAGAGTAAATGCAAATGTAAAATTATGAAACTGTAGAGGCGGTAGGAGAAGAACATGAAAATGTTTTTATTGTCTTCAAGCAATGATGGCCTTTTTAATTATCTTGCAAAGCTCAGACACCATTTTAAAAAATAATTATCTTGACCACTTAACAGATTTCCTCATGGCAGAGGAGTCTGGCATACAAAAACAGGTTATCCAGGATAACCTCTATTTGCAGTATATTTTGCAAAGCTAATTTCCTTAATATATAAAATTTTTCAGCTAATAAGGAAATGAAAGCAGTCTAACAACAAAATTGACAATTGTGGAACAGGAAATGCAGCAGAGTCCTGTTAACAGTGGAAAGATGCGAAGTGCAGATTCAGTCACAATGAAATGCCACTCCTGGCAGAGGTCGGACTTTTGTAGGGTATATGTAAGAATGTGGGGAGGTTAGCGTTTGCGTACATAACACTGATGAGCAAAATGAAAAATGGCTCAACGCCCATGGAAAATAGTTCTGTGATGTAAAGTGTAAAGCCCTTATGCCCACTGATTGCAATTCAGAGACTTTATCTTAAGCATATTATATGAACAAGGATATTTGTGCTTTCCCAATGATTATAGCATGGAAAACCAGAGACAGCTAAGTTCTAGAAAGTCCAAGTCTGTCCCAAAACTTGATTTTTTTTTTTTTTCAGCCTTTTTAATTTTAGCCATTCTAATTGATATATTAGTATCTTACTATGGTTTTAATTTGAATTTCTGGTAACTGATGATAGTGAACACCTTTTCGTGTTTGTGTTAAGCACTTTTGGTGAAATATTCTAAGTCATTTGCTTTTCTAAAAATAATTGGATTGCCTGTTGTTGAGTTGTTTTAGATATAACTTTTGTCTGCTACATGTTTTGTTAACATCTCTCGGTCTTTGGTTTGCCTATTTCTTTTTAAATAATTTTTTGAAGGCAATATGTAATATCTTTTGATGAAGTCCAATTCACCCTTTTTTTCTTTTTTTCTTTTATGGTTAATGCTTTTTGTGCACTAGGAAATCTTTGTTTTCAAAGAAAACACACTTCCTTGTTTTTCCCCAAGAGTTTCATAGCTTCAGGTTCTTATATTTAGCCTTTTATTCCCATCAGGTTTTCAAAATGGTCTCTAACCAGAAAGGAAAAAAAAAAAAGTCTTAGCGCACTGCTTAAGATTGCCGCCTGGCTTCTCGGCTTCGCCGACAGCATGGGCAGCCCCACGTCATGCTGTCTTGTCCCTCCCGTCCAATAATACAATTTCTGATTTACTGAATGATAAGAACAGTATCTGCGGACTGTCTGGCTTTATTACACTCCTCAAGTAAATTACTAATTCATTTCTAAGTAATTCTGTGCTATGACTGTTAACGTTAAAAAAGAATGTGGCCCACTGAGTGCGGCCTTTATTGCTCAGGGGCTGGGAGATCTCAGCTGGGAGTCACCCTGGTCTTTAGCGCAGAAGCCTGCATCCTGGTTGTCACCCTGTCATGCTCTCTCCCTCAGCCAGAAGCCCCATCTCATCTAGAATGAAGCCCAGAACATGACTTTTGAGGCCCCCCAGAAGGTGATCCCAGCTTTCCTTCTCTTTTCTGCAGTGCCCTGTTCTTTGCTGTTCCTCAAATCATCTTGTTCTAGTCCCAACTGGTGATTCCCTTGCGCCAGATTGTTCTCATTCCTTTCATCTTGCCCGCAACTTAAGCCAGCCGGTCTGGGTCCACGAAAGCTCCATCTCCTCCTTGACGCTCTCCCAGCCTCTCAAGCAGAAATTAATGTGCTGGCTCACATTTTGTTTATGTGCCATCTCTTCCATATAATAGCCTGTAGACTTCTGAATCCTTTGACAGCTGGGGGACCTGGGGCTCATTTTATATCTAAGTGACTCTTCACATGGTGGCTCTAATCTACAGAATCAACACGGGTATCCCAAATAGTAGGGCTACCTTTAGAGAAACTTGGAGTCTCTGCATTCTTGAGATGGGAAAACAGTCACTAGAGTCACGGTTATTTACAGTGGAGCTGTTTCTGATGGACTTTATTTAAATCTGTGACCCACCCCATGCCTGGGCTCGAAGGTTCCTGTGTCAGTGACGCCTGTGCCTCTCTCTTCACTTCCTCCAGGGTCAGTATAGACCGTCTGACTTGTTGTGTCCTGAGACATACGTCTGGGTGCCCATCGAGCAGTGCCTGCCGTCGCTGGAGAATTCCAAGTACTGCCGTTTCAACCAGGACCCAGAGGCAGGTATGTCTGGAGCAGAGTTCGCCCGGAAATCATTGGCTTTGTTTTTAGCATCCATGCATTTGTGACCTTGGCTTCTAATAGGTCCAGGTAGCTTTTTATACAGTGTGGAAGGTGTCTCAGTGTGCATGCAGGTGTGCATGTGCAAGGAGGGAAGACCTCACACCCCTTTGGGGGCACACACGGAACACTCACACTCACACTTTTGCAAATGCAGAAATCTTACGTGTTTGTGTTTTTTACCGTCCCACATTGCCCCCTCAGATTAGTTTTTACGTGCTTTAAGGGCTGACACTGTTATCCTTTTAATATTTTTACAGCTATCACAGTGCATACAAATAGTTCACTGGATTATTTAGTCACTTGATTATTTAGTAGAGAAGATGGAAATATTGACCATCTGGACTGAATAAAGTTGTGAAATAGTTTCATGGGGCCAACAGATGGGAATGGATTTTCTGATGATACTCTCTTGACTTCTGCAAGCATCTCTGGTCCCTTATTTCTCTGCTGGTCCTTTTCTTTTCCTTCTGCCTCTTCCTTCCTGGTTCTCTCCCGCCATGTTGATCTCTGGTCATCAGCCTTTGGCCAGTCCATGCCCGAGTAATACACACGCTGTAGAGCCTGGGTCAGATGCCGGCGTTCAGACCCTGGCTCCATCATCTGCTGGTAACTGTGCCCTTAGCGAACTCAGTAATCTCCCTGGTCTCACATTCCTGGCCATCAAAATTAGGGTGACAACAGGACCTCCCTTTTTGAACTATATTGAGGACAAAGTGAGACCCTCATGCCAAGAGCAGCCCCTGTTGTGTGGTGGCAGTTAGCTCTGTGAGGAGGCCGCATCCCATGTTTGCTGCAGGATTTCCTCTGTGGCCTTGTCATGGGGGGAGCTGGGGTGGTCTTTTTTGCTGCCTGGACCCATGTCTCTGCACGTTCCAGTGTGTTTCATTGACCTCTGAGTCCTCGCACCCACCAGAGAGGGTGCCCAGTGCACACAAACATTTTTCCTTTAGTCACCTGTGGTCTCTGTGTGGAAAAATGAAGGAAAGAAAAATGTAAAGCCCAGCGGAGGGCAAGGGAATGAGTGGATGGATTAAGGAGGAAGACCAGGGGGGCAAGGAGAGAAAGCTGTGACCTCCCCTGTTCTGGGATGCACGCTTTCTTTTTCCACAGACCAGGTTCTTTGATAAACCTGGATTGTGTACTTTGTAGGTTATCTCCTTGGAAAGCCGCTCTGAAGTCGAGAACACTTCTTCCACATGGCGACACCTAGTATCTGATGGGGGTGGCCAGGGACCAGGCCGACTCCTGTGTCAGGATTCCTGGGTTGGTCAGCCCAACTTTTCTGCATGTTTAGGCCTCACAGAATAGCCAGGGCGTTATAGATCCCACACCTTAAGTTATTAATCAGAATCTGATTGTTTTGTTCTAAGTAAAGTTACACCTTATTGATCAAATAGATACGTTACTTAAAAGCAAACACCGAGTTTGTCAACTATTTTGGGGTCAGGCTCACAGCCAAAGACAATAGTATTTTAGAGGAAAGCAAATACTCTCTCAAAGTTTTTTTTTTTTTTTTCCCCCTTTTTGCTTTTTTCAAGGCCAGGTTAGAGCCAGCTTCTTATGGTGAAAGATGCTGAATATCTTACTGCATTATTTCCGTTCATTCTAAGTTCCTCCGCACTGCAAATGATGGTCTTAAATAGGTTTCTGGCTCCCCGTCTTATGACCCGATTTCACCTTCGCCTTTGCCTTCTTGATCTCTTCGTACGTGATACTTGGAGATGAAGGTACTCACAGGCTCTCCCCGTTTTATAAACTTGAGAAGGAGGCAGAATAATTGCCATGCTCTGAAATCATTCATGTGAATAGATTTTATTTTCCAAAACAAGCATGCTCAGCGCTCACAACAAAGCCCAGTCTCACGTGGACTGTCCTGTCAAGTGCGCCCGCCCCCTGTCCTGCAGCGGTGCACTGTGCACCCTTCTCCTGCAGGCCTGAGCTGCTCCCTCATGGCCATGGCTGCAGCTGTTAATCTTCCTTGTTGAGAATTCACTTCAAAGTCAGGGGAGTAAATTTCTTTGAGAATAGTGCTTCGAAGAAAAATGAAGATTCTTTTCTATGAACTGAATCTTTCAAACTTTCAAGTGAACACTGTACAGTTTTATCAGTATTGAATATCACAGTCCAGACACTATTTGAAATCAGACTTATATCCTGTGGTTTTAGGAAATTAAAATGCAGTCACATGCTGGAATGCTCTGAGCATGCTGTGAAACACGGTCATTTGAGATTTAAATGGCAATCTGTGAGAACTGTTGGCCTCTCGGGGCCAGCTTCACTTTCTCCTGACCCAAACTCTGATTCAGAGAAAATGCATCGCTTACTATGGACAATATTGTTAGTCTGCTGGGTGCTTTTTTTCCCACTAAATTTTATTTCTCCTCCCAGCTGTTCAGTAGTTAAAGGCACAGCTGATGATGACTTAAGTTCTGTAAACCAAGGTTTGGCTACAAGGTGCATCCATGGACAGTTGGGGGAAAAACTACTCTGAATTGCTTAAGCCTCTGAAAATTGTCTCCCCACCTCAACTCTCTCATTTTGGGGGCTTGGGTTCTGTGGTTATTTGCTCAACTAGGAAGTCAGTGTAACAATAAAAACCTACTGTGTTTACTGCCTCATGGTTCTATGTGGGACTGAAGGGGCTGACAGGCAGAGGTAACTTGGAAAATTCTAAAGATATCCTTTGATCATAAATAGGCCTTTTATCTTTCAATTCAGGATCTCTGCCTGCTCCAAAGAAAGTTCAAACATAAATGATTTTTAAGTAGAAGTCTTGCTAGATCGCTTTGTCAGTTGGTAGTCAGGTATATACAAGTCTCAAAGATTCTGTATCACAATTGCATCTTACTTTTTGGTTGTTATTTTAAAAATATATTTAGTGGGACCACTAGTCGAAAATTTACCCAAATGCATAAAACCACTACAAAGAAGAATATTGAAGTACCCCATATTGTTGTCTCGGAATAGTAATCACCGCTGATATTTTTAGGCTCTCCTTTTGTTCTTTATTTTTCCTGTTCCTGTATCTGTGTAGTTAACAAACAAAACAGGACTCGCATTTCATGCTTTTGTTGGCGTTTACTTAATATTTCTGTGTTGCTTTGTTCAGCAGGGCGCTCTGCTGGGCCACATGCAGGGCAGCCCGCCGTCCGGCCTCAGTGCTTCAGCAGCGTCACTGCAAGTGAATCAGATTTTTGGAGTTGCTTTAAAGCATGATAAACTGTCATTTGATTTAACTCCTGATGTTGGACAAACATTTTATTTTTTGTTGTTGGTAGTGAAATCCTTTTAGTTCCAGATTTAAAAAAAAGTGTGAAACTTGACCGAGCAGGTGCTCTTCTCAGGCACATCTTAGCCTGTTGCGTCCCCTTAGCCTCAGAGAACCATAGTCTTTTTTTCCATGGTATTTGTACATAATATTTGTATATTGACCACAATGTTTTATTATTAGTACTAATGTGAACCTAAGACTTAAGAAGATAAACTTTAGCAGTTGTCAATGACTTTAATTTTTTGAGTGTTCTTATGTCTTGCAGAGAAATTTTTTAAATACTATTTTTTAAATTGTTACCAGCCTGTCTTTGCTCCGTAAGGCATGCATGTGCAACAAACCAGTGACTGGAAATTGTTAAAGTTCTGGCCAAAGACAGGCTGAAATACCTCTGAAATGGGTTTGAAAAGCAGAGTTATTTCCATTTACCTACTACAGAAACATTTCTCTGATCTCTTTCTTTTTTCTTATGGAATGATAAAAAATTTAAATAAATAATTTCTTTTATAATCATCCAGTTTTGTTTTTTTAATGTTAAGGAACAAAAAGCTATTTTCTCACATTTCTGGAGACTGTGAGTCTGGGGTCAGGATGCTAGCATGGTTGGGGTGTTGTGAGTGCCTTTTTCTAACCCAGTTTTTAATTTAATTTTCCTGAAATAAATAATAATCATTCAGCAGGCTCAAAAATACCACGCTTTCCAGAAGCAGCCCATAAAAGCCTCACATTGGCATTTCACTCTGCCACTTTGTTTGTTAAACCTCCTTCAGATGCCCTGGGAAAGTTCGGGGAGATGGGTGACTGTTTCACAAGGCTATCTTATTGAAATGACAGTAAAAGCTTTATAATACCCCAAAACACAGAAGTCTGTGAGCATTGATGTTTTAGAACAAATTTTAAAAAAATTAAAAGCCTTGTCTAATGTTGGAAGGCAGCATACAGATAATATTAAAACTTCGCTAAGTCTATAAATTCGCTGTCTGACAATTGCTGGAATGATTAACGATTAAATTAGAAGAGGGCAGAAGGTGGGGTGATATCAACAAGCTTGTCATCAGCCCCAAAATAATCTGTTGCTAGTTGGACATTTCCCTGCCTTGGGAAGTATCATTAAATGTTCTTGCTTTACCTTGTCACTTTCTAGAAACTGAACATGAATTGTTAGTTTAAAAGAGAAAAACTCTGAAAGGGGACTTGGACACTGTGCTTTGGAACCTGCATCCTTTGACACTCAGTACAACATTTACTGACTAGGAACTGACCCAAAGCCAGACATAACAATCGAAAGGTTCTGGAATCATTCACACACAATTTCCACATAAGAATGGAGTCTCAAGAGGGAAGGAATTATGATGTCTGGTGGTGGGTATGGTAGTAACAACTGTTGAGGGTTCCCCAGTATTACCTGTTAAAAATAAATTGTTGAAGAATAGCGTCTCTGCATTTGTCTGCAAGATTGTTTTTCAGTGTTTAGATTCTGTCTTGTAGAAAAATAAGCTATGACATGAGAAATGAGGAGGTCTGTTTATTTTGTGAGTGTTGTGTGGTGCCAGCAAAAGGTGTTCTTGTTAGAAATGTGTTTTCCTAGTTGCCATTTGTTTGAAATAGATGTCACTTAGTGGAGATGTGACTTACGCTTCTGTAGCGTGTTTGCTGGTAATAAAATGAA